TTTTTCTGATAAATAAGTTTTTCTATAATTTTAATAACACTCTCCAATCCAACATCAGAACTAACAGGCTAAATATATCTATTATAAAAAAATCTAAAACATGGGGCAGGATAAACTATAGATATGTACTGACATTCAGCATGACAGTGAAAGTGAAGTCACTCAGTCGTGTCTGACTCTTTGCGACCTCATGGACTGTAGCCTACCGCGCTCCTCCGTCCATGGGGTTTTCCAGGCAAAAGTACTTGAGTGGGTTGCCATTTCCTTCTCCAGAGGAATCTTCCCGACCCAGGGATCAAACCCCGGTCTCCCAAGTTGTAGGCAGACGCTTTACTGTCTGAGCCACAAGGGAATTCAGCATAGTATTATTAAAATCAAGAATGAAAGAAGTCTATGATCAACAGGGAAATAATTAAATGAATCTAGTAGCCAGGATTTTGGGAAGCCACTAAAAATGTAAAAACTTCATAAAGGTACTTAAAAATACTTATAAGATTTGTAGTCTTAACATCTAGAACATGTGTAGTACAGGTTTAACATTCATTAAAATGCAATGTGGAATAAAGTAGAATAAAAATAACATTTATGCATATTACAACTGCAGCTACACTATAAACAGACATAAAACAATATTGAAATATAAAAAAAAATTTTATGTGAGCATGCTGGGAGAGATTTTTTTCCCTCTGTGACATATTTTCATAGTTACATGCTTTTATTTTTAAAAATAAATTTAATGTTTTACAAAGTACACAATAGAGAGCATCTAATAACATTAATGAAATTAAATCCTTTAATCCCCTAAGTCTAAAATATCATTTTAGTATATCATCAACAAAAATTATTAGTGAGATATTTTATATTCCTTTTTCCTACTAGTCTTTACAATTCACTGTGTATTTTACACATACAGAACATCTCAAATCAGATTAGCTACATTTTAAGTGCTCAACAGCATATGTGGCTAGTGGCTGCTGTAACTGGACAGTCCATGTCTAAATAGCACCAACTTTAGCATTCATACATTCAACAAGTATTGCATTCTAGAAATGCTTTATTTTCTTTACTGATAAAACTATCCTGAGGCAAATACGTCAGAATGTTAACACGTGTCCATTCTTGCTAGTGAATATATTTTCTTTAAAAATATTCATTAAAAAGTACTTTTCTGAATTAATTCCCACCCTCCTACAAATAGAAAATAATTTACTACCCAAAGTCTCTAACTGAACACCTTTGAAGTTACCAACATTCCAATCAAATTAGACATGAAAGTAACAATTTATCTATTTAAATTATCTATTTAGCAATTTATCTATGCCACTACACTTATGGGTATAACTTATTTTAAGACTTTTAGAAATATAAGCTATTTCTTCACAACAGAATCATCTTCTCCAACTCAGTTTTTCTAATTTGGAGTGAAGCAGACCTGTGTATTAAGGACAGGTTACTTTTGCTTTTATCTCTATAACATTCTATCCCTGTAATTAAAATCTAAAAAATTCATGTTTAATTTTGCTACTAATTCCTTAACAGCAGCACACCGTGCCCACTTCTACTTTACAGGAATAAGCTGTCTTTTGACGTGACTGTAACATGAAGGGGAGGGAAAAAGTTGTTCCCCTCAAATGGTTCTCATATTTAAGCCTTAGTTCCTCTTTTAAAGGGGCTTCCCTGGTGGCTCAGATGGTAAAGTCTGCCTGCAGTGCGGGGGGGACCTGGGTTAGATCCCTGGGTTGGGAAGATTCCCTGGAGAAGGAAATGGCAGCCCACTCCAGTATTCTTGCCTGGAAAATCCCATGGACAGAGGAGCCTGGCAGGCTACAGTCCATGCGGTTGCAAAGAGTCGGACATGACTGAGCGACTTCACTTTCTTCTTTCACTTTCCTTTTTTAAAACAACCTTCACTTTTGAAAGAGATCCATAATGCAATTGTATCCATAGTAACAAAAAATATTTCCCTAGTTAAATAATATATAGCAGTGGGAAGTAAAGAATAGACACCTTTTAAAGTAACTTGTGCTTTGTCACTCAGTTGTGGCCAACTCTTTGAGACCCCGTGGACTGTACCACCAGACTTGTCTGTCCATGGAATTTTCCAGGCAAGAATACTGGAGTGGGTTGTCATTTCCTTCTCCATTAAAGTAGTTTAGATCCAATCTATGCAGAATGCTAATTTATTAGTACTGGATTTATCGATAACCCATACAAACCTTATATATCTTAGTAATAGTACTTTGTGTAGCTTTTTAAGCACTTTAAAAATCAGTGTATCATTTGGTGCTCAAACAATGCATTTATGGCACTGTTATTTACTACCTGTTCATAGGATAGAATCTAATAAATAACCACATCACAAATTTTAACTTTCTCATTTATGTGGTATTTTAGGAAAGTATTCTATAGTATACAACAATATGTATATTTAGAGTTCATCTCTTCCAGAAATCCTAAAAATCAACATAAGCCTAAGAAGTAAGAATTGAACTGACAATGTAGAAAACTGCTTTTGGAAGAAAGAACAGTTTATTTCAGGACAGTTAAAATTAGCTATTGCATTCTTCTAATTTTTCTCCCTAAGCATCAGTACAGAAACATAAAATCTAAAAGAACATTCAGCTGCACATTCTGGTAACTGGATATTCTTCTCCTATTTAACTAAAGACCAAATGTTTTCTAAGCACTTAATTGTACTAACGCATTATGGCTGAAGTCACTTGGTAGGGGAAATGTCTTTCTTGCTCAGAGATCTCCATATACCTGTCACAGTACGTTGCAAAGAGATACAGAACAGGTAGTGGAATCCACTTAGTAGCCTTGACAGTAATTTCCAAGAAGAGAAAAGAAATGCATTAAAGAAATTTAAAATGGCCTAACCACTGATTAATGGTAAATAAATGATGGCAATTTTATTGTTTCCCAAGTGTACTCTGATGGTCAGCAATGTTACAGTATAATAATAGAGTGCTCCAGCCATCCAGAGGCACACTGTGCTATTCTCAGCAGGCTCCAAGATGACTGCACCGGAAAAGACAGTTACTACCTTCCCTTCAGTTCAGTTCATTCAGTTCAGTCGCTCAGTCGTGTCCAACTCTTTGCGACCCCATGGACTGCAACACGCCAGGCTTCCCTGTCCACCACCAACTCCCGGAGCCTACTCAAATTCATGTCCATTGAGTCAGTGATGCCATCCAATCATCTCATCCTCTGTCGTCCCCTTCTCCTCCCGCCTTCAATCTGTCCCAGCATCAGGGTCTTTTCAAATGAGTCAGTTCTTCGCATCAGACTACCTTCCATGAAATCTACTTAAAATATGATAAAAATACTTCATATACACAGAAACCTATTACAAATTTAATACTTATTAATTGTTAAACTTCTCTTTAACCTGTGTGTACTTTCAACTTGGAGTTTCACTTCCCTGGTGGTTTAGTGGTTAGGATTTGGTGCTTTCAACTTGGAGTTTCTCCTAGCATTATGTTTCATTTAGTCACTACTATTTCCAAATTTGATTTGCTCTAAAACAACTGCATTTTAAGTGGTAGTAGTGATCTATTATATTGGCTCTTTGCAAACTTTTCTACTAATTGCATTATTTCTTTTGAAGTAGAGAAATTAAAATACATGCAATAAGTGGGATCTGATAAATACTGAGCAAAATAGAATAATTCCTTTCTGACTCTCACATGTTGTTGTTGTTGCTGTTGTTTAGTTGCTAAGGCATGTTGGACACGCTGTCATGCCCAACACTTTGTGACCCTACGGATTGTAGCCCACAAGGCTCCTCTGTCCATGGGATTTCCCAGGCAAGATACTGGAGCGGGTTGCCATTTCCTCTTCCTGGAGATCTTTCTGACCCAAGGGTCAAACACTCATCTCCTGCAGTGGCAGGCACCTTCTTTACCACTGAGTCGCCAGGGAAGCCCAGCTATCACAGCATTGCTGTTGTTATTTCAGTAGCTCAGTCCTGTCTGACTCTTTGCGACCCCGTGGACTGCTCACCAGGCTCCTCTGTTCATGGGATTCTCCAGGCAAGAACACTGGAGTGAGTTGCCATTTCCTCCTCCAATCACATGTATACTCTTCTAAATTTTATGGGGGGGGGGGGGGAGACTAGCAAAAGTACTACCTTGTCTAGCTACACCAAATTACCAAAGTGATCATTTCAATTAAATTCTCTAAGAATGGGTGTTGCTTTATCTTTAAAAAGTCAGTTGAGATGAAGAAGAAAAACATTTTCTATGTCACGTGAAGCAAAACTGGCTTGTACTAATTTGGGGCCAACAGTAATGTTCTGGATAAGATATGCTTAATGGCAGAAAAAGAATACATTCATGAATAGACTTTTAAATCTACCTATATCTATGCCAACATTAAGCAAAATTATCATTTTTCAGTGAACTTCATAGTTTCCAAACTATCTTCTATCTGTGTGCACCTATTCCCCACTTTAAGCAGTCAATGCTACTTAGTTTTTCTTGCCAATCTCCCCACATTAAAAGAGAAAGAGATCTAATCTCATTATTTGTATTATTCACATCTGTATATATATGATTTCTAATGCTGCATTTTAAATCTCTTATTCTAATTGGAAACATTTCATTCTTGTTTAAAAATGTTAAAATATAACCAAACAACTGGAGAGTCTGAACAGAAACCAATTCTTCTGAGAACAATAAACAAATAAACAAAACAGAAAACCAAAAATAGGTAAGGAGTACCATGTATGTTCATTTACTTTAATTTCAAAGGTGTTATTCCTGACAGGACAAATCTAGAATATGCAGTAAACAGACTGTTTTGGAATTAAGAAAGCTAGGGGTTAAAATAAAGCCAAAATCCTCCCAACAGCCAAACCAAACACCAATCTTTCTTTTCCTATCCCCCAGGGTGTCCTTGTGGCCTAGAATAATACATGCCGTGACCTAGTCAACCTATGGCTGACAGAGATAGTACTTTATGTTGGATTTATGCTGAATACTAATGCAGGATCTTACCTGTAATGTACATGTGTGACTGCTGGTTTCCTGTATCCAAGGATCCAGGTTTGAATATCTATGGGTTCAGCTTTGGGATAAGCTATGGTTGTATCTATTATCCACTGGAGGCCTTTTGATTTGTTGTCTGAGAACAATATAAAATTGGATCAATTTTTATATTATTTGCATCAAATAACATTAAAAAAAAACTAACCTGCAGCAAGCATATAAAGTACAAAGCATCTTGCAAACATCAGAAGCTAAAGTATCACATCACGAAAGTGAAAAGCAGACCTCGAAACAAACAAAAAATCCATTCACTAAATATAACACAAGATAATACAAAAACTAAGATTTGTGATACTTGGAAGACATTAATAAATATTTGAATAAGGCAGTAAAACTAAGCATTTTATTGACACACATGATCTTCAGTTGCTGCTTTTGTTCAAAACCAACAACAAAAAACCCCTCCCATTATGGCAAGAGTTATAGAAAAATAAAGCAATAAACCTGTCCATCCTGTGGTAGGAACAACAGGTGGTAACCGCTGTTGTGAGAGGGGCTGGGGAAGTTCTGCTTACTTCAGTCCTCTGCACGCTGCTTCTGTTCCCAGCTCAGGGTACAAAGTTGAGCAGGAATTGAGAGGGGAATCCTCACAGAGAATGCTAATAGGTAGACTTTATAGTGTAAAGGTCTATCCTTTGTTTGAAGTAATTAAAGGATCTTTAAAACAATAAAACTTACTTTTTAAACATAAGGCCAAATATACAGAAGGAATCAACAATATCTTACTTAAAATGTCAAATAATTAAAACCTGGCCTAAAATTCTTTTGAAATTTTAGATAACATTCTAAAGGGGAAAAAATACTCATATAAGAAATAAGTTTAAAAAATTTAATTTTTAAATAATATATTGCTGAAGGAATAGTGTTAGGTAAAGAGAGACATTTTAACAAGCTACCCATGACATATAGGCTGAAATGTTTGGGGCTAAAGTGATGACTGCAACTTACCTTGAGTTGCGTTAAAAAAAAAAACAAAAAAAACCACCAAGATGGACTAACAGACAGATAGAAGGATGGAGAGACATGTGATAAAACAAATACAGTAAAGTGTTAACTGTAAAATCTAGTTGGTCTGCTAACTGCAAAACTGCAAAGTTCTTTTAATTTTTATGTATGTTTAAAAATTTTTATAATAAAATGGTTGGGAAAAATCACCAGAGTTCAGTTTAATATTGATTAAATCATACAAAATGAAAATACTAATCCTTTTAAAGTTAATTAGATACAATTTTATTTTTACATGTTTATGCTTACATGTTTAAAACCAACATGAAGGCATGGTTTGTGTTTATATAGAATAAAATACTAAATAGTGAATATGAACACTAAAAAAATAAAATAAAATACAAATACCAAAACAGAGAAGAAAAGGTAAAATATAAGTAAAACTAGTTTTGGGGTACACAGTTTTATAGCATTTATTATGGGATTTTTCCTAATCTACTAGAATAAAAAAATTTTTTTTTTCTTGACAGGTAAGAAGTGGATTTATTTGGAGAGATACACATCCCATAGACAGAACGTGATCTGTCTCAGAAGGCGAGTGCAGCCCTGGAAGAAACACACTCCACAGAGTGTGGGCCATCTCAGAAGGTGAGAGGCCTAAAAATTTCAACTAAGGGAAGAAAAGTAATAAACAATTTCACTTTGGTTATAAATAGACTGTTTCTCTCCAAAAGGAAAAGAAAACAAAACAAAACATTTTTCTTCCCTTGTGTGTAATCAATATGATAAGTACCCATTCCTTTGGGACCTAGACCACTACAGAATACTGACTGGGTAAAACTATTTAAAAACAGCAGCCTTTATTAGTGCAATTAATCCTGTTTGGAAGACCTTTGCCTTCAAGCTTTGGCTTGGCTGACATTGCTACAGTGTCTCTGCAGCCGTGAAGCTATTCCGAACCTTCCTTTTCTATTAAAAGACTCTTTCAATTTGTCTTTTTAATAGATGATGAAAGATCAAGAGAGCTGACTGCCAGACAGCTGTTTGGAAAAAACAAATAAAAGAACTCAGCAAAATCTCATGGCATGATTTTTATATCTGACCCTTACTGCCATCTAAAATAACACATATTTCTGAGGGTCCATCATTTCCAGTTTTATTTTATCTAAAGACTATTAAAAGAAATAGCAAAATGCTACTAAGGAAACAGACACGTTGTCTGTACAATAGATGCTGCAGATCTGCATACCTCACCAGACTATCTGCAAGAGAGCTGCATCTTTGAGGGTGATTTACTTTTTCCTGGTCATAAAAGTAGTATGTAATATTTTTTTTCAATTCAGGAAAGTATTAAGAAATGGGGGAAATTATCCATAATGTTACAACTCAGAGAAGCAATCACTAATATTCTGGAATCTTTCCTTTCACAAATTTTCTACTGCCTTATTATTTACATATTTAAGCTCATACTGTTTACACAAGAGTTGTTATGTTCCTCCTACTCCATTAATATTATAGAGCAGAAGCATTTTCTAAGTCCATAGACATCATTCATAATGGCTGTGTTGTATTCTGTTAGATGGATATTTAATAATTACGTATCTATTCTCTCTTCTGGCTATTTCCAATTTCCTGCCATTTGACATAATTCTGTGATAAACTACTGCGCCAGTATTTCAGATCATTCTATTTTGGTAAGTATTATATGCAGTGGAGTAACTAATCAAAATTTTAAGACTTTCAATAAATATTGCCCAAACGTATTAAACTCATTCTTTGTATTAAAAACAAAAAAAAAACTTTCTAAATTTGATAAATGCAATATATATATAATTACAATTTCATTTGCTTATAGTTTTTCAAATTAGTCATTTCTATTCCTATATCTTTTAATATAGTAATTCCACTTATAGGAATTTACACTACTTACATGCTCCACAAATGTGAAAAGATATTTACAGGGATGGCAGCTGAAGCAGTGGGGATGCCAGGAGAAAGGTATACAGGAAGGGAAAGACACCTTTGACCTTATATATTCTTATACTATTTGAAAAAATTACTGTAAGCATGGAGTACTTTGTAAATAGTAACATTAAAAAGTTATATTTTCAGGACTTCCCTGGCAGTCCAGTGGTTTAGGATGTGCCTTCCAATGCAGGGGATGCGGGCTCAATTCCAGGTTGGGGAACTAAGATCCCACATGTGAGCCATGAGCTGCAACTAAAACCCAACACAGCCAAACAAATGAATATTTTAAATTATATTTTCATCTTCTTCCTCAGTATTATTTCTATTCAACAAAATTATAAATATAAAAAAGAACTCCAGAAAAGCCTCTAATTCCAAGAAAAGAAAACAACGCTAAAAACCATCATACCTAACTCCTTAGTGTCTCCTCCTGCTGGACTCCCATTTTCCTGTCGTGCTACAAGTGCACGCAAAATAATTTTTGTTGCCCCAACTCTCGGCAAAGTGACATGTGTAAGAAATGGCAAGTTATTTTTCTTGGCAAATGACTGACTGGTTTCTCGCCTCTTCCTGAGGAAGCCCCCTTCTGGAAATAGAACAATCCATTTTCGATCTCTGCTCCTGTAATTATTTTCTAGGTGCTTCTTAAGAAGAAGAAGCTGTTGGTCACGATGAGATTTTCCCTAGAGGGTAGATACATGTATAATAAGTATAGGCAAGTTTGAAATTTAAAGACCATAAATGCTAGAAATTACTGCTTCCAGAGTAAATCCCAAACACAGACTAGAATAGTGACTTCCCCCTGCACCCTGTTACTTCCCCTTTTGACCACAGTGGCAAAAGGAAGTTATTAACACTTACATAAATAAACCCTTCTCTCTGCAGAAACAAATTGCTCTAATTGCCCCTGAGAGTTTATTCACTCATCATTAGTGAGTATTTACGGAGTACCTACTACTTACTTGCCAGGCACGTCTTTAGAGATAGAAAAGTAAGACACCCTCATGGAGGATTCATGCAACTGGTGATAAGTGTTAGGAAGAAGAGTAAGAGGCTGGAGAAATGCAACAGGGTCGGGGGAAGCAACTCCAGGGAGGTGAAATTTAAGCAAAGAGCTGACAATGTGAGAGAATAAGCCATGTGAACATGAGTGGCAGAGACAAAAGTGACAAGGACAAAAGAGACAAAGGGCCCTGAGGTGGGAGTAACCTCGGCATTTCAGAGAGCATGACAAGGTCAGTGTGGCTGAGAACTGCAGAGAGGTGGAGATCATATGAGAAAGGCCTTGAGTTTGGTGAGTAGTAATTTGGGATGGGATGTCATTAAACAGTTTTCAAAAAGGGAAAGTCATGATCTTATTTACATTAAATATCTTCTGGCTCTGGTGACAAGAAGACTGCAGGAAATAAGGAGACTGCTGTAGAGTCTGGACAGGGGAGTTTGATGAGATTCAACTACAGGATATAGATGAGAGGTGCATACATTCAGGAAAAAGTCTAAATGCTAACAGGATGTTCTGATGGACTGGGTCTCAGTTGTGAGGGAAAGTAAGGAAAGAGGATAACTTGGATACTGAAAAAAAGAATTCAGAAGCCTTTTCAGGAAAGTCCCAAACTTATGACTAAATATTAGAAAGGTTCTTCCTTTCAGTATGATCAATTTGCTAGTAATTTTCCAGCCAACAAAATTACAGAAGCTCCCCCAAATAATTTGTATGCTTTCAGTCTTTAAATTATTCCAAATGCAAAACAAGTAACAATTTTCTTAGCTGATTTATGGAACTGATTATGATTAAACTTTATTTATTAAGTTCCCAAGACTACATGTAAACTATTTTTAATATCCTTGGAAATATTTTATTAAAAATGTCTAGTAACAAAGGCCCAAGAGATTTTAATATTAATTTTTTTTTCTCTCTCTCTTACCCTCAAGTTATAGATTTTAATTACTATCTAACAGGGAAAATATATTTGCTCTTTATAAGTGAATTTCTAGGTCTCTCCAATAATCTGAAATATGGTCTTAAGTATGCAAAACACTTTAATAAAAAAAGGAAATGTTTTGGAGTACATTATTTTCTATTTTCAACTCCTCAAAGTTCACTGATAATTTAGTTTAATTTAGCCTCTTCTTGAGGCCTAAGGATCATCATGGTAACAAGGTCAACTGTTACAACACCATAAATTCAATAATTTCCTCAGATTCCTAAGCAGTTCATACAGCTTTTCCTCTGGACTCCACCCAGACTGCTTCAACTGTCAGTTCTGCTGTCTTTTCCTCCAGCGACACTAAGATGTTAGGTTAGTTTCTTCATTAAGTTGCTCTGAATCACTTATAAGTTGATCTGCTTATTTTGTTTGTCTTATTGTGGCCAATCCCCATTCTCAGTTCTTCCTGAGGTTCCAAGCCTACTTTTTTCCCCATCTCTCTGCTCAGAAAAACCAAGGGCCTTCCCAGAAGGAATGAATCAATTATACAGAATAGGAAAAAAAAAAATGTTTTGTACATAAAACTGTCTGGAGCAAAGTTTATGTGTTTTGGGATATGTATTTTCATAGAGCTCAGAAGTTTTTCTACATTATTCCATATTATTTCTGAATTTGCAGTTCTCAGAAGAGGTTTAATTAGATTCACCAGCAATTCATTAAATAAATTAATATGTACAAGGTACCGCGCCATCCAAGGTGAAGTTGCTAAATATATAAACAGTAGATTAGTGTGGCATTACCATACATAAAAACTCTTGATATCATCTTTCAGTTATCCAGTTTTGAGAAAATAAAGCATGTGACTCTAAGCAGCATATCAGAGAAACACTATTTTGATAGGTGAGTATTTTTTTTCCTACTAAACTATTCCTAATGCTTGGGATCCATTCCCAATCCATCTTCATCCATCAAACTCATACTCATTCTTTAAATTTATGCCATGTATTATGTTCTCCTCTAAGGTTTTTCTGGATTTACAGAAACCTGATGTACTCAGTTTTCATATTATGAATTCACAAAATATTTTCTCTTATTTATTTAATTATTTAATATTCTCCCTACTGGTAATCTTATTTAACAATCTCACAGTTGCTAATTTAGGTATCTTCTGTGTCATATAACAGTGACTCGTAAATAAAATTAACAGTGATCTCAGAAGAGCTGAGAATGTGGCAGGTGCTTGAAAACTGTTTAGAAAGGGAGGAGGAGAGTAGAGATGAAAATATTTGCATTTTTAATACTTATACATACTCAAATTCAGACTGAAATTATTCAAACTCTGTTTTAGGGAACAGATTCCCAGCTCCCTGAGATAACTAGAAGAGGCTCTACCTATTTTAATTAGTTTTGTGATGTCTCTTTTTACACTAAAGAATCAGACTGATCAAGACTCTCACTATGGAAAAAATGCTCATTAGTTACCTGTCTTATAAAGAAGTCTCCATGAATTAGAGAAACAATTCCAAAGTTTGTGTATTTAAAAATATGATCCATCAACCACATCATCTGAGCAACAACCTGAAATATTTAAAAGCAAAAAATAATTAAATATTGGATAGAAAAAATACTGAGTATAGTCTAGCCAGTATCTAAATTTTAAGCATAATCATCCAACCATACTTTTCATTAACCTAAATATTTAAAATCTAATGCTATTTCTACAAATAAAGTGCTACATGAAAAATTACAGGTCTTGATTCCAAGTCTTGGATTCTTAAATCACAGATATATATATCACTGGGTAACAGATAAAATGAATTAACTTAAATTTGAACTTAATGATTTCTAATTTGTTCTATGTAAACATCATCACTGGTAATTCTTACATAACTTGTAAAGTTATTCTGAAACAATACAATATGCCTAAATTAGCAAATGAGGGCTATGAGTTTAATAAGTACTAAGGCTTTGTAAGGGCTTCCCTAATAGCTCAGATGGTAAAGAATCTGCCTGCAATGCAGGAGACCCAGGTTTGATTCCTGGGTGAGGAAGATCCCCTGGAGGAGGAAATGGCAACCCACTCCAGTATCCCTGCCTGGAGAATCCCACGGACAGAGGAGCCTGGTGCACTACAGTCCTTGGGGCTGCAAAGTCAGATACGACTGAGCGATTAACATTTTTATTAAGGCTTTATAAAAGCCTTAATATCTTTGTTAACATCTTTTTTAAGGCTTTATAAAATGTGACTTTACCTTAATGGTTAAAATATTAAAAGTCAAAAAATATAAAGATATAAATACAAAAATATAAAAATGTTCAACAAAAAGAACACTAAACAATTCATTTACTCAATAAATACACTGTACATTTTAAAAAATTAATTCAGTAGTGTGATTTACACATTCTACTATGAAGTGTATTTGTTAGTTTATACAAAGCCATACTCTTTACCACCATAAAAATACTGTTTCTTAAACACAAAAATATTATCCATTGCTGATAAGAATTAATACTCTATCAGGAGGAGAAGCAAAATTTCAAAATTAAAAAGAAGTGTAAACAGGATCTAGTTAATGAATTCATTAATTGCTCTCCCCTGCTGAGATAATAGCATCCCCTGTTATAAGCCTTAAATAAATAAAGTGAAAACTACAGCCTCAATCAAGAATGCAACAGAGCTCTACTTCAGTTCCTACAGGAATAACAAACATAAATTCCATCTCTAAGCACAAAATTGTATGAACATATAAGGGAAAAATGAAGCATTGACACCCATGTGTTGCTTTTACAAAAACATAAAACCCCACAAATAATATAATACTCGAGCTTCTGCCTTAATTTTTCAGCATTACTAAATAATTCAGTTGCATGACTCCTATTCCACCAGTTTTACTATATAAAATAACTTTAGAAAGTAAAGACACATGCCCAGTGAAAGACTGATTTTCAAATCAATTAACACAGAATAAAATAATTACCAACATCTCATGTTTAATCTTGTTTTGCTTTGTAATGATAACTACTTTGTGTAAATAAATTTGAGATCTGAAGTAAATGGAATTTACTGAAAAGTTTCCCAAGAAACAAAACAAAAAGCAAGTGGATTCAACGTGTAAAATCTTTGAGCTTTATACACAGTATGAAGTGTGGCTGCAAATTATTGATCTCTGGGTTTAATATATCAATACTAAAGTAACTAGCTTTTATGTTTAATTTTACATTTATGGCGGATTTACCTCCTCAGTTAGAAAGTAATCTAAAACAAATTCAATAAGACAGTCAAGCTATCTTCTGTCCTAACTTATTTTAGCAGAAATATTACAAGTCAATATATATTACATGTCCAATAGAGTTCTATTAGTAGAAATGAAAATTCTTAGTTTTATCATCAGCTGCCATGAAAGGGCAAGACCCCTCACTTTAGAGACATTTCTTAAAAAGGTACTAGAATATTTAGAAAATATAACTAATCCTTTGACTCATATTCCTGAAAAAAGGAAGTCAGTAAACACAAGCCGCCTGAGTCAACTTAGTCGACATTTTACAGGTTATCTGTCAGAACACTGCTAGGTATTTGCAAGGAACAAAGTTCAGTTCAGTTCAGTCGCTCAGTCATGTTCAACTCTTTGCGACCCCATGGACTGCAGCACGCCAGGCCTCCCTGTCCACCAACTCCCAGAGTTTACTTAAAATCTGCCACTGTTTCCACTGTTTCCCATCTATTTGCCATGAAGTGATGGGACCAGATGCCATGATCTTAGTTTTCTGAATGTTGAGCTTGAAGCCACCTTTTTCACTTTCCTCTTTCACTTTTATCAAGAGGCTCTTTAGTTCTTCTTCACTTTCTGCCATAAGGGTGGTGTCATCTGTGTATCTGAGGTTATTGATATTTCTCCCAGCAATCTTGATTCCAGCTTGTGCTTTATCCTCTATATTAATTATCCTTTACCCATAAGCATGGAGTTTCTACATATTCAAACATCTGGAGAGGCTTACATAAATGGCTCCATTCTTTATATCATTCTGAAATGTTAGTAAAGTCAATGGTTCTCCAGTTTAGAAATCTGCAAGGACAGTTTTGGCTGTCACAATAGCTAGGGAGTTCTACTAGCATGCAGTAGGTTGCAGCCGGATAAGGAAAACAATTCCAGCAGGACAGTTGAGAACAACAGTGCTGTCCTACCAAAATGCAAGCAGTGCCCCTGCTCCACAAAGGAATAATGACAGGTACCACAGGAATTCCTGAATTCAAAAAGCTATATTACACTTATATCACCATTAAACTAATATTTTTAAGTGTTAACTCGCTCAGTCATGTCTGACTCTTTGCAACCCAATGGGTTCCTCTGTCCATGGGATTTTCCAGGCAAGCATACTGGAGTGGGTTGCCATTTCCTTCTCTAGGGGATCTTCCTGACCCAGGAATCGAACCCGGGTCTCCTGCATTGCAGGCAGATTCTTTACCATCTGAGCCACCAGGGAAGCCCTAGTAGGCCAGTTTTAAACTGACATTAGCTTTCTTTCTTTGAAAGTGCCCACGGAGTATGCAATTAATCAAGCAAACATTTCTACTTGTGAGTATAAATTAATATTGCCCTACACTTACTAGGTAGGAGGTAGAGATCATAATGTTCTACCTTTTATTTTTCAACTACTCCTTTATGAAACAAGATAAAAATTCTCTAAATTTCACATTATTTGGTAATATCAGATGGTAAAAAATATTTAGTATAACTAATCTGAAAATGGGAATAATTCTGGACAGAAAAATGAGCAGAAGACCAACTGAAATCTTTTTACAAAAGCAAACAAATAAACCAAAATTTCTTTTGTCCACAATATTGGTGAATCTCAGATTACCTATATTCTGACTAATACAGTCATCATTTCTGCCAAACTGAAGTTAAGAGTACCAAAGTTAGGATATTTATACTTATCATTTTAAGCACTTTTTGAGACTCAAAACCCAATGGAAGACATCATAGGCCCTCGGAAAAATCACTATAAGTATCTTATCAGTAAGAATAAAAATGTTCTCCTTGATATAAAGCCAAATAGGGGTTTTTTTGGGGGGGGCCCACACCTCACGGCATGTGGGATCTTATTTCCCCAACCAGGGATCGAACCTATGCCCCTTGCAGTGGAAACAGAGTCTTAACCACTGGACCACCAGAGAAGTCCAAAAAACTAGTTTTTACAAAATTTTAATAGCAATAATTTAGAGGACAGGTGATATATTATTATAAATGCAAATACATCTATATAGTGATGTTATTTCAACAATTTGAATATAAGAAATTATTGAATTTATTCTACATTCTATCAAAATAATGCCTTTGCTTCTTAGATAAACAACAAAAACAGATTTCATAATAAGCAAACCTTTTCCATTTACTCTCATCTCATTTTCTGACCCTTGACTTGCTGAATCAAACTCTGAGGACCTAAACACACCAGGTGTATTCTTGCCTTGGGTTTTGGCCACGATTATTTCACTACGGAAGAGGCCCTTGCTTCACTACTCTGCTTAAGTTCTACTCAAACCTTTCAGGTCAAGTTTATGTCCTTCTCTCCACAAAGTTTTCTATATCCACCAAGTACATGGTGAGCTCACCTTCCACCAAATACTTTTCTTTGTAATTAAGTATTGTTTGCTATTCCGTCTCTTCATGTATCACTAGTTTATCAGTTCCTTTAAGAGGACATCTTATAGGATGATGTTCTTCTATATTTACAGTTGGTGACCATGAACATGAAACACTGATAAAATACCTATTGGTTTCTTCATTATTAGGCCAAATACTAACTCCATTAACTCTATATACTATTTATTTACTTTTCTATGAACATAACCTCTTTACCTTCTCCTAAGGTGTTAATTCTTTTAATGTTAAGCATTGATTTTATATCCTCCCATTTTATAAATATATTTTAGTTATTAATATAAGCAATGTGAAATCAACAGTTCAAACACAGCCCTAGAACACTGAATAAAATGGACGTGCTATCTTTCCTTTCAATTTGCTTTCTAAGTGAAATTCAAAATAATATCTACCTTACTTTCTTCTGGCTAAAAATCCCCAAGATCACCTCATTCCCCATCCAATTTTATTCTTCAGTCTTATGTGGTTGGATTTCTCAAACTGGCAATCCACCACTCACCTCAAGACAGCCCTATGTTGAACCATATTAACTTTGCTTTCATTTCAGTTCTTTAAAAAAAAAAAAAAAGCTTCATGGAGGTATAATCCGCGTTATCCCAGTTGGTTTTCTTTAAGTCTATAAATTTCTCTTAGAGTGATTTAGAATTATATATACAATATATTTTTTTTCAAGATTTTTCTAAATTTTCAGGAAAAGTAAGCATATTAAAGTGTATCCCTACATTCCCAACTGTAGTAAGATACTCAGCTGACCCTCTGTCAACCCCTCTTTCCCGCAGTCTGTCTCTGCCTTCAGTATGGCTTACCAGTCCTTTGTCCTGGAGGCACATCATCAGAGTGCACACATCTCCTGTTGCCTGATGGTTCACCAACATGACTGCTTCATCTTCTGAAATTGTTTTAATATCTTCCCCCCACTCCATCACTGTAAGGACAAAAAGTTTCAAAGCTGTCATTTTAAAGATTTATCTATTTCCAGAAACCTTATGTTAGAAACACTGGTGCACATTAAAACTTCTGAAAGTTTATTTCCTAAAAGTATATTTCCTAGAAAAATCAGGATGTTCATATTTTAGAGAGACCCAAAAAAAATCCATGAAAATGTAAAATGGCCACACCTTTGATTTAGAAATTCAATTTAAGAGTTTATTCTACAGAAACATTTGTCCAAATGGGCAAAAATATGCATAAATGATAATTAGTTCACCAATGGGAATGGATAATTTTCATACAATGAAAGAGTATAAATTCATTAAAGAATGGAAGATATCTCTATACACTAACCTCAAAAGACTTCTTATCAAGTAAACAAATCACAAAACAGTATATATAATATGATCCCATTTTTTCAAAGAAGGAATAAAATTTACATGTAATTTAACACATTGAAAAAAGTCTGGGGGAATGAATTCAAAACTATTAGTACTGATCTTCATTGGGAGGCGGTTCCCAAAGATCCTTAAATTCTACTTTAGAATAAAATACGCAAATATTATAAAATGTGTAAACATTTTCCTTTTATAAGAAAACTAATTAAAGATGTTACATTTATTAAAAATTTCCAGATGAAAAATCATTGCACCAAAACCTATATGTACACTGTAAGGAAAACAGTGATATCTCCAAGCAGGTATGCCTCATTTTATAGCACACTTACTACACACACAAAAGATAAAATTAAACGGCAGTTTCACATCAGGATTCTACGGAGAAGCTTCTAGGTTCTTCAAATGTCTGACACAAATTACCAGAGACTGAATATACACTAGTATTGACTCATCTCACTCCCTGCTATGAGGAAAGAAGCTGGGCTCCCTGTGTGTAGTAGTTCTGGAGGAAACGGGTAGGAGACCTGGAGCTCACCTGCTTTACCTCTGCCAGCCCCCACTCCTCCGCAGCAGCACTTCACTGTCACCCCAGTATAGTGGAGCTGCTCTTAAGACAACATTTGAGAAAAGAGTTCTGCTAATTTTTTCTTTCTATTAAAATCTAAGCAAAGCATCTATGCCTTCATTTTAAAAAATTTGTATTAAGGGAATTTCAGCTAGGTTGAACATATCTTCAGTTGTGGTTGTTACTATTGTTCAGTTGTTAAGTCTTGTCCAACTCTTAGCACCCTCATGAACTGCAGCACACCAGGCCTCCCTGTCCTTCACTATCTGCTAGAGTTTGCTCAGATTCGTGTCCATTGACTCAGTGATGCTATCTAACCATCTCAGCCTCTGCCGCCCTCTTCTTCTTTTGCCTTCAATCAGCTGTGGTATCTACTTGCATAATCATTCTCTCAGAAGTTATTACTAAAACACAAGTAGCTAACACCGTGTGCTGAAACCTTTTACTTTAAGATTCTTAAATGAATGCAGAATGGAAACCACATTGCAGATGTCAAGTAATCTTTAAGGAACAGAGGTAGAACACTGGGGACAGTCCAGTGCAACGGCTTTCCTTCAGAGTGGCCTTTCCTTTCCCAAGGTGCCAGTGAAGTTTAGCTGACAAGCTAACTTTACTTAAACTTATCTGAACAGCTGATATATCATATGTTGTATGTGTGGGGGGTGGGAGTATAAATTGGTACAAGAGTTTGGAAGTCAATCTGGCAATCTATATGAGAACTAAGAAATGTAAAAATCTTTTTAGCCAGCCATTTCACTTCTAGGAATTCATCTTACAAACATACTTACGTGTAAAATGACACACATGCAAAGCTCTTTACTGCAGCATCATTTATAAAAGCAAAGATGAAAGCAACTAAAAAGACAGAGCAGCTCAAATTCATAGAAGTTTCTAAAGTGGTGTTTGATGGGGAAAACTGGGGAGTTGACTAGTTAAATAAATTATAATATATCCATGCAATAGAATATTATACAATCATAGCATCTATACACTAATATGAAATGATACTGGCTGAAGCTCCAATACTTTGGGCGCCTGATGCAAAGAACTGACTCATTAGAAAAGACCCTGATGCTGGGAAAGATTGAAGTAAGGAGGAGACAGGGATGACAGAGGATGCAATGTTTGGATGGCATCACCAACTCGATGGACATGAGTTTGAGCAAGCTCCGGGAGCTGGTGATGGACAGGGAACCCTGGTGTGCTGCAGTCCATGGGGTCGCAAAGAGTCAGACATGACTACAACTGAACTGAACTGATGAAATGACATACTGTAAGTAATAAAGGCAAAGTGCAGAACACTGTGTGAAGGATGCCACCAGTTGAGTTTTCAAAAAAGACAGAGACTATATTTACTAAGTGAAAACTTCCCATATTACTCCTCTGTCAACAACCCTTCAATGAACACACACATGCACACCCTACTCTTTCATTAATTCATTCTTCAGTCAATAAAACAGCATCAGGAACTGTGGTTATAAAATGAATAAGAGCAAAAGTATTATTCTAATGGCAGTTAAAACACAAGTCTAATTCAATTCTATAAATATTGGACTATTAAGAGGTAATGTGGAAAGCCTTCTGGCTCCACACTGATGTTTTATAACCAAATATTCCTTTAAAGCAATTTCTGCTACATGAATGGAAAATACTAGATACTTAGACCTATGATGCAGGAAAGCCTACGTGTAAATATAACTCCAAATAAAAATAAGCTTTCTACATAAAATGCATCTTACTGTTTGTTAGATATAAAGTAGATAAATCCAGTGTGTTGGTTTCAAATCTCAAAATATAAACTGAATTTAGAACTCTTTGTTCTGGCTTAAATAGTGTCCCTTCAAATTTACATCAATCCAAAATCTGTGAATGTGACCTTATTTGGAAAGAGGGGCTTTGTAGATGTAATCCAGTTAAGATGAGGTCAGAGTGGATTAGGGTGGGCTCTAAACCTATATCCAATATGACTGGTGTCCTTATAAAATGAGGGAAATTTGGACAGAGATACACAAAGAGAATGCCATGTGACGACAGAGACAGAAACTGCAGTGATGCGTCTGCAAGCCAAGGACTGCAGACAACCAACCAAAGTGAGCAAGAGGCAAGGAAGGATCCTTCCCACTAGAGCCGTCACACAGAACATCCCTGCCAACACTTCAGACTTCTAACCCTGAACCCTGAGATAATAAACTCCTGTTGTTTTAAGTCCCCCAGTTTGTGGCACTTTGTTATGGAAGCCCTCTAAAACTAATATATCCCACCCTCCTCAACTTTCCTCATTTTGCTTTTCCATTCTATTCTCTTCAAATAATAGTTTTTTTCTAACCAACTATAAGAAAAGAACAACACTGTACTTTAAACACCCAGAAGATTATACAGAAATCTAATATTAAATATTACAAATGTTTCTAAATGTTCATTTCTACAAATAGTTTAAGGGTATAATCATTAAGAGTTAACCCAATACATATTTTATCTCTGCCACAACTTAGCTAAAATTACTTTTCGAACTAAATGTCAATTTATTATACTAAGACTTACATGAATACTAAACCAAACAAGGGAAGGTAGCTGGATCAATTTTTTTAAAATTATCCTGATGTAGCAATAAAGTCACACTATATTTTATAGTAAGCTGAATTTTATTCAACAATAAATTTCACTTCTAGTATCTATGGCATTCTTCTTTTACCAATACTTTTACCATACCATTATGTACTTCAAAGATCACTGTTACACAAAATCAAGATTCAAAAATGCTTGCAGAGAAAAAACATTTATTTTGTGTATGAAATAGCTGTGTTCCTCAAATCATAGCCTGCTATCCAAACCAGTACGTATAATAATGAAGCCAGTATCTTAACCAAGGAATAGAATTATTCTCATGTTAAAGAACAGAAACTATGGATGACTGCCAGTTCTTACACTGTAAGAAAAAAAATATTTTAACATACTGTTCTGTGAAATGAATTCTCAAAAAAGAACTGGGTCAGTTCCACTATTTCCAAAGGGAATGAAAAACAAATGGGTAAAAACTGGAAGAAAAGTTCCCTAGTTATAACTGAACTTTTAAAAATTCTTATTAAAAACCAAAGCCAAAGATTATCACCTACTACACACACACATACACACATATTAATAAATCTCCCCAAGAGTTATAGACTAGAATTGATCAGGATAGTTCATATCTCAAAAAGAAAATAAAAACAACAATTAAACCATCACAAATTCCTTAAAAACATTGCTGCTAAAGCTGTTATACTGATCCACAAAACAGAAATAATGTGGAGAAGAAAGGTTGCTTTTTACATACAATCATAATAACACAATCATAATCATACTTGTTTTTCAAAAATCAGAAAAAATATCAGCAAGCTAATGGCACAAACTATTTTATGATTCTGTGCCTCAGCTTTTCACTTAAGAAACATAATGATATCATTACGCTATTCAAACTTATTGTGAAATGAACGAGATATAATTGATAGAATCACAGACATCCTGGGTAATTAGATTACAAAAGTTCCCTTTGAAATCACTATTAAGTGAGTCATACAACTACTGTGTCACTCACATAAGGGCAGGTATTCTAACATGAATAGTAAAGATTGGAGAGAGAAAAAAAAAAAACACATGAAAGAATCTCATAAAACTCCAGAACTGTGGCTTTCACTAGCCCAGATTGGAGGCAGACTAAACTGGACTCATCCAAAGTCAGGGGTTAGCAGAGGAAGATGAAAAAGGAGAGAGGACATTACCGGTGGCTATGAGAAAACAGCTTACGGTACTGATTAACTGAGAGGAGACAGGAGGGGAGGAAGCAAGTAAGGGAGTGATTCATTAAAAGAAAACAGAGGGAGGGCTATTATAATAGAGATAGTTGAAGCCTCCCTCTATGCCCGCCTTTACCCATCCTATTCAAACCTCCACAAATAGGGTCCAGGCATTTTGAGAAAGCCCCCAGGAGAATCTAATGTATGCCAATAAACAAGAATCACTGGAATTTATGCAGCAATGTTTTTAAGAATACTGAACATACTGGGAAGCTGTGGTCAGCACCCCTTTTTGGCACTTTAAG